TCATCCTTTTCTGGGATTTTCTTCTGGGGAAGGATGGACAAGGACGATGATTCGACTTTCTTAAAGTTTAAAGAACAACGCGCCAATGCGGCTGTTAACACGTGCGACGGTAGACCGACGAAGCAGCACAATAAAAGGTAAGTGAGCTTTGTTGCCCTTCAGGGAAACGTTAAACTTAATGATGTCTTAAATAAAGGAAGCGACAATCTGGGTCCTGTACGTAAATGTTTTAAGTTCGGGGTCTCTTTAAAATGTATTAAACGCCATCGGCGACCTTTCGGTGGGGGTCACCGTTAACTGCGGTAAGAATTAAGTTGGGATCGAGAAGGTCTCGTTTCAATTTCCTACTGAAAACTTAATTCCAATTTGGACAAGATTAATAACAAAGTTAATCTAGAAATGTTAATAATATGGAACATTTCCACTAACATTAATCAGTTTCAGTGCACTAATTAAAAGCAATTTCATTAAATAGTTTCCAGAACTTATACGAAAACATGTTTTGAATATACGCTCAATTATGTACATACATACATTTTTTCAATGTAAATATTATAAAATTAAATAAAGTACAAGTTACATAAAAAATCTATTGTGTTAATTTTATAACAAATAAAATAGAAATGTAAAGTGATAAGATAAAATATTTCACACTAAAAATAAATACTAATACTGAAATTAATCAAATTTATATATTTTTCATTAGTTCGTTTTAATCACTATTATTTTCAGTTTCAAAGTTATTTTTTTTAACTAAGTATTGATGATTTGTTACTATAAATATGAAATATATGTCCAAATTCTAATAAACTAATAAATTTGGAATAAATAATTTCTATGTATAAATCAGTGAATTTATTCTTTCTTAATACAGTTTCATATTCAACGTATATTTTTCTATATGAAAATACCGATTTGGTACAAATACAAGAATAATTTAATAAAACATTGTAACATTTTCAAGTAGAAAATAATAAATTTAAAATTAACATTTATTTTATTCACTTGAAATGTGAACACTTGTTTTTAGTAAATTTTATTTTCATTCAGTTTCAGTTTATTTTTTAGAAGGTAACACATTCCTTTTTATGTGTAATAATCCAGAAAACATAAAACACAACATCCTTACAAAAGGACTTTTTAATGAGTCGTTTCATTTGCCCTTTTTTAAAAGCTTCATTAGAAAACACAAACAAACACTTACCAAATTGTATCAAAATGTAACGTTTCTTAAAAAAAACAAACTTTAACATCTTTTTTCATTCATTAGTTTATTTATTTATTCATACATTTTTAATGGACAAACCAAAGAATTTCTGCTTTAATTTATTTTATTACAATTTATGTAAATTATTGGTGCTAATAAATTTTCGAGTTTATACTTTTTGTACTTGAAAATATTAATAAATAATTTATATATTTTTTAAGAAATTTACAAAATATTTGTAATAAATAACCAATAAACAAATTAAAAGATTTCATCTATAAAATTGATAAAATTTTCAAGTAATTTTATTGAAACACAAACAAATATATTGATTGAAAATGGGGAAAGCTCAGGTATAAAATATGATTATATAATAATGAGATATTCGATACTTTGATTTGCTATCATATTTCAAGAATTTGTATTAGAAGAGATCAATAATTTAATTATTTGTATTGTATTACGTTATTACATATTTAGTTATCTTGTATGAAGTCAAGTTTCAATTTGATTTACAATCAATATTTTAAGAATCTGATTTGATATACAGTGGAACCTCCCTTAACGAGTTTAATCCGTTCTAAAATTTTACTCGTATAGTGAAACATATTCAAAAATACACATAATATATCTACACAAGTTTTATAAATGAATGCGCTCAATCTGAGACTTCTCTTCTCATCGTCAATTATACTGCCTCATAAAACTACTGGTCGCAACAATATTATCAGCGTTCCAAAACTGGTTACTTCAGTGTCTCTGGCTATTACTATAGTGAGTGCAAGCACTTCGCAGATGACTTCAATACTACCCTCTACTTTTTGAGCTGAAGAAACTGATTAAAGGCGAAAAAAAGTAATTCTTCACTTCTTCCGATTCAATTAATTTTGCACGATAAAAGAAATGCTTCTTATGTAATGATTGTGTATATTTAAAGAAACTGTTCAAAAATTTTTTTAAAAAATAATCATATTTTTTGAATATTTCTTGTCACTAATTGAAGAATTGTTGAATTTTTTTTTTGCAATTTTATAATTACAATTTTTGGTTTAATGTAAAAATGGATTAATTGTTTTTCATAATTATTGTTTTGCTTGAGAGAAATTTACATCTTATTTTTTTTTTCTTATAAATTGTTAAAAAAAATGCTTTCATCGAACTGAAAATAATTTAACTTTGAATTTTATATATGCATATGGCTCTAAAATAAATCACGAAAAGCGAAAATAAAAATCCCATCAAGGCGCGCGCGTATGCTGCTGCACGCTTTTCCTCCATCCTGTTAACACTTACGCAACGTGCACGTACAGCGACCGAGAGATATAAATGAAAGAAGATGTATGATGGAACAAAAACTTGGGTTGATAAATTGAAGATTTCTCGCAATAAATTGGATTTTTTATTGCCACCCACTTCTTCAGCAGAATGAGAAGAAAGAGGAGGAGGTGGAAAAAGAAGGCCCCGTTCATTCCGCCAAGCAAAAACCAATTACTGTCTTTTATCGCGTATACGCGTCCTCACAGGCATCGAAAAAGAGAGAAGAAAAAAAAACAGGATGAGTTGGATGAGGAAAACGGTTTCTTTTTCTTTGCCGATCAATGGAATCAATAGGACTAAGAGAAAAATGCATCGGAAAATTTACGTTTCCTACAAAAAAAAATTGTGGATCAATCAATTTTCCGCACGCGAACTTTGACCCGATCAATACGGATGTGGACCATAACTCTCCCTTTCTCTGTTCCTCTGATGGTAAAAGCTATGGCGTTGTGTCCGCGCGTGATATATTTATGTGACCAATATGGCATGTGACAAATTTTACGGTTACGTTTTAATATTAATCGCGCGATTAATCTGAACGGCGGCGGTTGTGCAATCAATCCGCGCTTTTGGATTGCCGAATCCCATGCATCGTCGATAATAAAGAAAAATTATTACGTATGTTTCCAACAGCAACAGCATAAAAAAAAACAAAAACAGAATGATGGTAATGGTGCCCCACGTTGGTCGGCGGAATTTCGCAATTAAACAAGTCAGACGTTTCTAATTATCGCGTCGAGTTCATTTGTATTTCGGTTTAAAGAATAATAATAAAATCA